CATCCAATCTTCTGAGCTGCTGTCTTGGGGCGACATCTCAGAGATTCCTGCTCAGCTCCCACTGGCTCCAGACCCTCCATTCCTCCACCTGCAGAAGGACAGGGTGGATCTGATCTCCTGGAAGCACAGGAGACCTCAGGGATCGGCAGAGTTGGGATCTTCCCTCTTTGCTGTTTTCCCCCTCTGGATGAAGCTGAAGCCTGGAGGGAAAGGCCCCCTGCTCCAGAGCTCTCCATGGAGCCATCCAGCCTTCCCACATTTTATTTGGAAAACGTGAGCACTTTGTGGCAAGCACCATTTAAAATTTCCCATTTTGTTGTTGTCGTTCCGGCCGACGCAAAAAATCCCTGGATTTCTAATTCCCATTTATTAAACTCCATTAAAAAGGTAAATATAGCAACTCCCCTTCGGAATGGCTTCCTTTCCCTTTTCCCTTTTAATTGATTATTTCTCCAAGGTAAAACTTTTCATGCAATGGCCAAACATCAGTATTAATTAGATTAATTAGCGGGAGGAGGTGTTAATTATTTTTTTTTTTAAGGGCTGTAAAGCAGAAATGAAAGTTTACAAAATCCAGATAATCTCCCCTGGCTGCTTCCCCTCTGCCAGGAGCTCATCCCACTGCTCCCATTTGTGGAAATCCATAAAATCAGAGGCTTTTGGGAAAGCTGCAAAAGGCAGGTCTCAGAGACAGCAGAACTGTGATTGGAGCTCAGCAGCAGCCCTAAGATTGGCCAGCAGAAAAGTTGTGTAAGAAGTAGAAAAGTAATGACAAATGGAGCAATGGTCTGTGTATTCACGCTTGGCTAGAATAACTCCCTCAGCTGCAGAAAAGAAAATCTAGAGATGTTAGGGAGTTCTAAGCTTAAAAACGGAGCTCTGTGCATTGTGTTTGAAGGCTCACAAGCAGGTGAGGCTTATTTTATTGGAAATAAGCAAGCACTGTGTAACCGAAGGTACGTGTGCTTACAGTGGTTGGATGGAAATACTGCCAATGCTTTTGCTCTGTGTGGTTGGGCAAAAAACTTTTAAAGCGAGTTGTAACATTGAGTTCTTGGTCTGCTGCCGGGGATGTGAGCTGCTGGCATCTTCCCATTGCCATAACCATGGGATGGGACTGGTGCTGGAAAATAAAACGGCTCGAGATGCCTTCCCCAGCAGTCCCGTCCCGTTGGTGATTTGTACATGGATCCCAGACTGCAACACCATTTTCCATCAGGAAAAAACCACAAAGGGAAGGAACCACCCAGGAAAAACAAACTGGGCCTGGAGATAAGAGCAATGGGAGATAAGGGAAAGGATCAAACGCTCTTCCCTGCTCTTTCCTTCCTCTCCGCTTCCTGCCGGGAGCAGCTCTGCCCTCCCACCTGGACTTCAGGCGACAACAGAGCTGGGATTCATCAGGGTCAAGTTTTTCCTGAGGTTTTCCAATGGTATCAGCCCTGAAATCCTAAATTCACATGTTCTTATCCTGTGCTGGAGAGTCCCGGTTTGTCAGGAGACGCCACAGGAATTTTGAGCCTCAGGAACAGGTTGGTCCTCAATCCAGATGACAAGGCCACAAAAAACTCCAAACTTAATCAGGCCAAAAGTGAGATTTTTCCATGTTTTCCAGAGGCTCCAGCCCTGAAAACTTAAATTCACATGCTCTTATCCTGTGTTGGAGAGTCCCGGGTTTTTCAGAAGGCACGGGAATTCTGAACATCGGGAACAGGTTGGTCCCTGATCCAGCTGACAAGGCCACAAAAAATCCAATGTTTGAGGGTTTCCAGGTTTTCCAGAGGCACCAGCCCTGAAAACCAAAATTGACGAGTTTTATCCAGTGCTGAAGTTGGAGAGTCACAGATTTGTCCCAAGAAATGCCACAGGAATTTCAAGCCTTGGGGACAGGTTGGTCCCTGATCCAGCTGACAAAGCCACCAAAAATTCCAAACTTAATCATGGCAAAAGCAGGATTTTCCAGGTTTTCCAGAGGCACCAGCCCTGAAAACCTAAAATGAGAAGTTTTTATCCAGTGCTGAAGCTGGGGATTTCCAGATTTGTCCCAAAAGATGCCAGAGGAATTCTGAACCTTGGGAACAGGTTGGTCCTTGATCCAGCTGACAATGCCACGAAAAAATCAGCTGGAAAAGCTGATCCAGACCTCAAAAAAAAAAAAAAAAAAAAAAAAAAAAACCAAAAAACCAGAAGTTTCAAGTCATCCCTGTTCCCTCATTTTCTCCATCCCTCAGGGAATCTCATTATAAAATCCTGGAATTTTAATAGGAAGGGGCCAACCAGGATCATGGAAGTCCAAGTCCTGCCCTTGCATTTGGGTTTTCCATTCCTCTTCCTACAGCCTGGACTTCAGGAGTCTCAGGGATGGTTTGGAATTGTCAGGGAGGTGATCCTGGCACTTCCATAGCTCCAGGAATGTTCCATCCAGATTCCAAGACAGAGCCATGAGGGGAAATGTCTCCTCCACCACCCAAATCTCCCCCTTCCTTTGAAATTCCCAGCTTTTGGGATCACAAAGCACAAAACCAGCAAAATTGGCACATCCAGGTGGCTCCAGAAAAGAGGGAATCTGGAATTGCGACTCTCTGGAAGTGGAGCTGTTTATCCAGAGTTTGGATGAAGCCTAAAATCGATCCCTCACATTATCACAGTCAACACAAATCATCAAAACCACCAAAAATGACAGAAATGAACCCATTTCAGAGCTGCTCCACTTCCCAACAAAATATTTCCCCTCAGGACAGAGTTTAGGGACACAGGACTTCCCAAAAAGCCTTCCCAGTTTATAAAGTGGGATTGCTGGAGATTTTGTGGAGCAGAAAAAAAGCTCCTAGTCATGGAATGATGGAATGCCGGGATGGTTTGGGTTGGAAGGGACCCTGAGGATGATCCAGTGCCACCCCTGCCATGGCAGGGACAATTCCCACCGTCCCAGGCTGCTCCAAACCCTGTCCAAGCTGGCCTTGGGATCACAGTGGGATGTCCCTGGTGGGATCTGTCTCACAGAGCTTCAGCCATCAAATCCCACAGAGGGCTGGAGCCAGGCTGGGAGAGCTGGGAATGTTCCCTGGAGAAGGCTCCAGGGAGAGCTCAGAGCCCTGCCAGGGCCTGAAGGGGCTCCAGGAGAGCTGGAGAGGGACTGGGGACAAGGATGGAGGGACAGGACACAGGGAATGGCTCCCACTGCCAGAGGGCAGGGATGGATGGGAGATTGGGAAGGAATTCCTGGCTGGGAGGGTGGGGAGGGGCTGGGATGGAATTCCCAGAGCAGCTGTGGCTGCCCCTGGATCCCTGGAAGTGTCCAAGGCCAGGCTGGATCACCTGGGACAGTGGGAGGTGTCCCTGCCTGTGGAATGGGATGGGATCATCCTTCAGGTCCCTTCCCATCCAATCCATCCTGGAATTCTCTTACCCCACAAACAAGAGAACACTTGAATTCCAAATCCACGCTCCCATTCCCACCTCCCCCATCCAGCTGATCCAGCCTTATCCATCCACAATTCCCACCAGCCTTCCTTTTCTTCTTTATTTTTTTTTTTTTTAAGGAATTTGGCCCAAGGTATTTCCTTGTAAATTGGAACACGATGTTTTTTTCCCCCCATGATTTCCATGGATTTAAAAAAAAAAAACAAACCCCAACTTTGGTTACAACCAAGGAGAGAGGGGGGAAAAACCTCACCCCGTTCTCCAGGAGTGTTTATGAGCTCAAGTTTTCCCAACTTTTTTTTTTTTTTTTTTTAATGGAAAGGTGGAAAAAGATGCATTTCAGGAGTTTTTTCCCCTTTTTTTTTCCTTTTCCCTGGCCCCCCTTCATCCCTCCATCCCACCTCCTTTCCCTAATGGCTCTCCCAAAACACATCCCGTGGGCATTTGCTGCAATGAAGCACAAAAACGAGGCCAAGCCGCCCGAGAGGAGCCAAAGCCCAGCCGGAACGGGATTTTTCTCACTCTGGGAATTTGCTGTGCTTGGAAGCAGCAATCCATAAAAAAAAAAAAACACCAAAAAAAAAAGTGTGGAAAACCAGGCAGCCCTAAGGACACGGAGAGCGGCTGGCATCGGGATCGAGAATTTCACCCTCGGGGATACAACAGGGGCGGCTCCCAAGAAGTTTCCTCTCTTTTTGGGATGTGTTTTCCAAGCTTGACTCACCTCCGGGAGCTGGAAAGGCTCTGGAGAGGATGTGGGTAAGGAAGAATTCCCAAATCCAGGAATCTCCTCTAATGATCCATGGAGAATGTGGAGGTTTTTTTTCCAGAGGGAGCCATGCCTGAGGTCTCCGGAAAATCCATTTTGGGTCCCGTTCCCACATTTGGCACCTGGGACACGGAATTCCCATTTGGAATCCCTCAAATTTTGGGATTCCCCCTGTGGAATTTTAAGCTGGTGTGGGATTCCACAGATTTCGGGACCTACAGCCACAAAAGGAGTCAGGAATACGGCACAAAGAATCCCAGAAAATTCCAGAATGGTTTGGGATGGAAGGGACCTTAAGCATCATCCCATTCCAGTCCACCTCTCATGGAAAAAGAGGTGGGAATAGTGGAAAGCGTCCCTGGGGATGGGGTTGGATGATCTTAAAAATTCCCTTCCGACCCAATCCATTTGGGAATTCTATCCAGCAGCACCTCCAGCTCCTGTTTTCCAGCTGGGTGTTCCCAGCATGTCCAAATTCCTGGAATTGCTCCTCCCCAGGGCAGGATTTCTTCTTGTTAAATCCATGAGGATCCCACCAGCCCAATTTTCCAGGATTTTGAGGCCCCTCTGGAATATCAGCCGCTCATCCCAGCCTCACTGAAGATCGTGGAATTCCAGAATGCTTTGGGTTGGAAGCTTAAAACTCACCCAGGGCCACCTTCCAGCAGGGAATATTTTCCATATTTTTAATCCCAAATAAAGCCATCCTAAAGCCCAACCCCACAGAATCCATGAAATGCCATTCCACAGGAAAACAGGGACGGATTTTTCCCGCAAATTTCCAGCCAAGTGAAGACAGGAGAGAAAATCACAATTCCAAGAGATTTAATAAGAAGGAATTACAGGTGGAAAATCCTTCTGGCACATGGAATTCAGCCAATGTACAGCTCCAGGATGGGTTTCCCAAGGAATATTCCAAGTTTTTTGGGATATGTTGGACTCAACGCAACCCACAAAATACGGAGTCGGCGCTAAAACCCCACGACAATAAAAAATATGGCACAAAGAACACCCAAACCCCGCTCAAATCCAAAAGATTTCCTTTTGGGAATTCTGGGTTGGACTCATCCCACTTCCAGATCCCATGCCAGCCTCAACAAACACGGATTTGGTGCGAAATCCACTTGGAAATCCATGGCAAAATGAGGTGCAGGAGCTTCCTTTTCCTCTCCCGGTAAACCAGCAGCAATCTGGGGGCGGGAAACAACAGGAGAAACTCCAAGAGGATTTTATTCCCAGGAAATAATTGATGGATACGGAATTAACACTGGATTTTCCAATAAAGTGCATGCCAGGAAAAACTTGGAATAAATTTTACTCCAGTCCTAACTAAGCAGAAGAAATACAAACCTTGCAAACAACACCCTCGACACGGCTCGGTGTCTTTTTCTCCCAAAATTAGGCTGGATTCCAAAAAAATGGAAAAAATTCCCAGGGAATCCAAGGATGTGAAGCTTCACTGTTTAAAAATATTGCACTGGAAGTGTCGGATTTGAAAGCGACACCAAAAATACTTAAATTAAAATGTAAAAAATAATTTAAAAATAAATATTCGACAATAGCTCCTTGGAGGTAAAATAGCTGGAAAAGGTAGGGATTGATGAAATGGGAATTTTTCCTATGGAATATCAATAATTTAGGAGGGGAATCTCTGCTCTCAACAGAGCCAAGTGTAAACTTCAGACTTTAATTGAAAATACTCCCTTTTTTTTTTTTTAGGGATTCTGGAAAAGCCTTGAAATGTTTCATCACCACTGAGTGCAATTAATTAAAAAAATTAGGATCGGCTCCTAAGGATTTTAGGGAAAGAGATGGAGAGGGAATTCATGGGCTGGAAAGCAGCAAAATGAAAAAGCACATTAATGAATTAATAAATTAATTAATGAAGTCAGGTTTTGTCACATCCCTTCCTATTTACAGGGTTTGGCAGTGGAGAATCCACGAGGTCTGTTTCATCCCAACTGGAAACTTGGATCTTTCCACCCAAAAAAAGCTTTCAAACCTCATCCAAGATCCAAACCTCATCCAAAATCCAAACACTGTCCCAGATCCAAACCTCATCCAAGGTCCAAACCTCATCCAAGGTCCAACCATGATCTAAGATCCAACCCACATCCAAGATCCAAATGTGATCCAAGATCCAACCATCATTCAACATCCAAACCTCATCCAAGATCCAAAGCTCACCCAACATCCAACTGCCATCCCAGATCCAAACATCATCCAAAATCCAAACACTGTCCAAGGTCCAACCGTGATCCAAGATCCAAACCTCATCCAAGATCCAACCATCATCCAACATGCAAACCTCATCCAAGATCCAATCATGATCCAAGATCCAACCGCCGTCCAAGATCCAAACCTTGTCCAAGTCCAGGAATCGTTTCAATCCTCCCAGGAACTCACCCCCAGCAGCGCCATTTTCCAAACCTCATCCCAAACCCCTCCCAAAGTGTCTGTGGAAAAACCAGTCCTGAAAATCCCGGCTCCCCACCCTGCTGCTCTTCCCGGCGTTCCCGTTCCCGCCGGGAAGTTACGTCAGCTTCCTCATCCTGCGGTTCTGCCGATCGATGTTGAGCGTGGCGCGATCCACGGCGCTGCCGATGGAATCCAGGGCCTCGTCCTGCCTCTCCAGCTCCGCTTCCGTCTCCAGGGCCAGGCCCTTGAGCTTCCTCAGGATCTGCCAGAGGGGAACACGGAGAGCTCGCGGTCAGGGCTTCGGAAAAATGGGATTATTCATGGCTTGGCATCCCAGAATTTGGGTGGGAAGGGTTGTAAGGATCATCCAGTTCCAGGCAGGGACACCTCCCACCATCCCAGGTGCTCCAAGCCCCAGTGTCCAACCTGGCCTGGGACACTTCCAGGGATCCAGGGGCAGCCACAGCTGCTCTGGGAATTCCATCCCAGCCCCTCGCCACCCTCCCAGGAATTCCTTCCCAATATCCCATCCATCCCTGCCCTCTGGCAGGATATTTTTCCCCATTAGAAAAAAATAAAATTAAATAAATTAAAATGAAAACAAAAATAAAAATAAAAACAAAACAAAAATATAAATGAAATAATATTAAATAGCAAATTTTAAAATAATAAAAAATTAAAATGTTTAAAAACAAAATAAAATAAAACCAAAATAAATTCCTGTAAAATACCATGAAATACCATCCAATAAAATAGCTGGAAAACTGCAGGCAAATGAATTAGCAAAGAATTCAGAAAAAATAAGAGGTCAGAGGGAAAAAAATTAAAAATAGGAATTTTTTCTCTTTAAGTTCCATGAGACAGTCCTGAAAAATCCATTTAAGGAAAAATATCCAACTGCACTCCTTGAAAAACTGATTTTTTCCCAGTGAAATCTCAGGAAAAAATTCCTTCATTTCCTGGAATCCACACTGATTTCCTAAATCAAAGTCCTCTACGGGTGTTTAGGGAATATTTTGTGGAATTTTTTGGAATAAGACACAAGAGGGAAAATCCCCCAAATTTCTGTAATCAAATGATTAAAATCAGGAATTTTCATAGCTCACATTCCAATTAATTTTTTTGATCAAAAAATCCAAGCCAAATGAAAAATTATCCAGGAATTTCCATCCCAAACTCGAGGAATATTTCAAATATTCCCACAGGGATCAATTTGCAGGAATATTTGAGAAAGGCAACAACGAAATGAAGGAATTCAACAATTCCTCCCCTAAAAATTCAAAGTTTTTAATGCCGGCATGGATGAGGGATTGAGTCTGTCACCAGTAAATCTGCAATGACACCAAGGTGGGAGCTGTGTCCATCTGTGGGAAGGATGGAGGGATGGGCAGAGTCCAAGAGTGTGGGAAATGAATTTATAAACAATCCTGTGGAAAATGAATTTATAAACAATTCTTAAAGCTTGACAGAAGGTTCACACATCTCTACGTAAATTCTGAGATGAGAAATGCTGACTTAGAAATGCCATGGAATAGGACAGACGTTGTTGAGAAACAAATGGAATTAGAAATAAGTTTTAAAGGATGGTTTTGTAAATAAAACGAGACATTTTTCAGGAATAGAACTATGAAAGATGTATTGCAGTAGGATTTATGAGGGGTCCATCCCCATTTTTACCTGTCGGAGCTCCTTGGCTTCCTCCTGGGATACTTTCTGCAGCTGCACCTGCTCCTTGTCCGTCCCTTCGGCGCTTCCCGCCGGCAATCCGGGATTCACCGCGGCTCCCAGGAATCCCGTGGCTGCCAGAGAAATTCCATAGTAAGGAAAAAATCCTGCCTGGAAAGGAGGGAAAGCTTCAGGAATTCCCAGAGAAGCTGGGGAATCCCAGGGAATGCCCAAGGGCAGCTTGGGATAAGGGAATTGCTGCTCGTGCAATCCTTAAGGATCACTCTGGAATTCTGGGATCAAAGTGGTTGGGCTGGGCTTTGCTCCATGGGAATTTGGGAGGAATCAGGATCCAATTTTTCCCATTAAATTCTGGTTTTCTGGCAATATTCAAAGTGTATTCCTCACAATTTCTCTTTATTTTTCTCCTTTTTTTAATTTTCTCTTTATTTTTTCTCTTTTATTTTTTATTCATTTTATTTCATTTGATTTATCTTTATTTTTAATTCATTTTTTATTTTATTTACGTTATGCTATTTTCTTTTTTAAATAATTATTTTTGAAATTTCATTTCTTATTTAGGGTGCCTTTGGAAAAGAGGATCGTTTGGCATGTGGGGGGATTCATGGGAATTCTCAGCCGTTTTTTTGGGATAAAATTGGATCAAAGCTGTTCCAAAATTTCCATGCTTACCCCAAAAGAAAACCAGTGGGAAAAAGTGTAAAGCAGCTAAAAAAATTCCAGAAAATTATTATTATTAGTAGTAGTAGTAGCATTGTTGTTATTATTGTTATGGCTATTGTCATATCAATTATAACAATAGCCAATTAATAAATAATTAATAATATTTTTAAATAAAAATAGCCAGTAAGCATTAGATAAAAATAATTCCCTAAATTCCTTTTCCACACGGAATGAAGCCAAAATGGACTTTTTTGGGAATTTCTATCAATTTAGGCATAACCTGAAGGCAGGATTGGTGTAAACAAAAGAGCCAGGTGGGATTGTGGCAGTTTAGAGGGAAAATCCAGAATTTTCCCAGAGATTTCCATGCCCTGCAGGGATATTTCTCCCAAAAATCCTTGGATAAATTCTCTATTGCAAAACACAAATAGGGGAACAGAAAAAACTAATTTTTTTCCCTCCTGATTTGAGAAAAAGGGAAAAAATAAGAAAAAAAAATAAGGAAAAGATCAGTTTTCCATGGAAAAAAGATCCCACACAGTCCGTGAGTGCCACCTTGTGACGGAATGGGAACGGTGACAAATCCAAGGAAAACACAAAAAAACCTGGAAAATCAGGATTTCCATCAGCTCCCCTCTGCTTCCCAAGGTTTTCTAAATTAACCAGGGAAGGAGAACAAAATCCAGCTGGAAAACAACGGGAAAACCCCTGGAAAAGGGCTAGAGATCCAATTATTTCCTGGAATTCCATCAGGAACTGGGAATTTTTTTGGGATTACAGGAAATTCCAGAGGCTAAAATTCACTTCCTTAAAAATCCAGCAGCTTTTCCAAGCTGGAATATTCCTCAAAACCAGGATGTTCCCTTCCCTGCTGGAATTCCAACCAGAAATTGGTGGAATTTATAAATTTATCCCAATTTTCCAGTTGGTTTTGGCACTGGATATATCTTTGATTTGCTCCTTTGGGATTAAAAATTAGGGAAAAAAAAAGAATTCAGGGATGTTTGTAAGAATAAATTCCACAGTGCTGAAAATTCCCAAGGCTGAGCTAAAAAAAACCATCCTGGAATTTTAGGATCAATAGTAGGGAATGTCAATTTTCTTGTTGGGAATTTTCAGGCACCGAAGTTTTCTTAAAATCATTCCAAAATCTCTGGAATTCCCACATCTGGACTTGTCCAATATCAAACTCCTGGGGTTTTAATATGGGAAAATCAGGTTTATCCCATGTTCTGATTCAAGATTCCTGGATATTTGGGGTAAATATTCATGATTTAAGGGAATTAAAGGTTTAATATAAATATTGGATATGGGATATTGGACATGGGATATTGGATATGGGAAACTAAATATTAAATATGGGATATTGGATCTGGGATATGGGATATTGGATATTGGACATGGGATACTGGATATGGAATATTGGATATGGGATGTGGGATACTGGATTTTAATTATTGGATATGGGATATTGGATTCTGGATATTAATTACTGGATATTGAGATATTGGAAATAGGATGTGAGATATTAAATATTGGATATGGGATACTGGCTATGGAATATTGGATATTACACATTGGATATGGAATATTGACTACAGGATATGGGACCTTGAATATTAAATACTAGGTATTAATTACTGGATATTAATGATTGGGTATTGGATATTAAATACTGGATATTGGATATGGAATATTGGGTATGGGATACTGAATATCAGATGCTGGACATGGGATACTGGATATTGGATATTGGATTATGGGATATTGAACACTGACTACCAGATATGGGATACTGGATATTAAATACTGGGTATTAATTATTGGATATTAATTAGTGGGTATTGGATATTAAACACTGGATATTGGATATTGAACACTGACTACTAGACATGGGATACTGGATATTAAATATTGGGTATTGGATATTAAACACTGGATATTGGATATGGAATATTAGATATTAAACACTGGATACAGAACATGGAATATCCATGATTAAATACTGGATACCAGATATCAAATATTGGATATTAAATATTGAATACTGGATATGGGACACTGGATATTAAATACCAGGTATTAATTATTGGATATTAATTATTGGATATTAGTTTTTGGCTATTGGATAGTAAACACTGGATATTGGATATTGAATATTAGATATTAAACACTGGATAGAGAACATGGAATATCCATGATTAAATACTGGATACCAGATATGAAATATTGGATATGGGATACTGAATATTGTATTCAGTATCCCATATTTAATATCCAATATCCCATATGTTGGATATGGGATACTGGATATGGGACACTGGCTATTGGATATTGAACACTGACTACCAGATATGGGATACTGGATATTAAATACCGGGTATTAATTATTGGATATTAATTATTGGGTATTGGATATTAAACACTTGATATTGGATATGGAATACTGGATATTAAACATTGGATACAGAACATGGAATATCCATGATTAAATACTGGATACCAGATATGAAATATTGGATATGGGATATTAATTATGGGATATGAATATTGAATATCAGATGTTGGACATGGGATATTGGATATTAAATATTGGATATGGGATACTATGGGATACTGAATATTGTATTCAGTATCCCATATTTAATATCCAATATCCCATATGTTGGATATGGGATACTGGATATGGGACACTGGCTATTGGATATTGAACACTGACTACCAGATATGGGATACTGGATATTAAATACCGGGTATTAATTATTGGATATTAATTATTGGGTATTGGATATTAAACACTTGATATTGGATATGGAATACTGGATATTAAACATTGGATACAGAACATGGAATATCCATGATTAAATACTGGATACCAGATATGAAATATTGGATATGGGATATTAATTATGGGATATGAATATTGAATATCAGATGTTGGACATGGGATATTGGATATTAAATATTGGATATGGGATACTGGCTACTGGATATTGAACACTGACTACCAGATATGGGATACTGGATATTAAATAGTGGGTATTAATTATTGGATATTAGTTATTGGGTATTGGATAGCAATTGTTGGGTGTTGGCTATTGAATATTGGATATTCCCTTCCAGCTGGGAATTAACTCCAGGAAAAGCAGCAGCAGTGCCAAAGGCTCAGAAGCCACCTCAAGTTTATTCCTTGGATTTATCATGGACTCGCTCACCGTGGTGTCTGGAATACTGCTTGGAAAAACCTCTGGAGCTTGGAACCCCCTGGCACCCACCTGCCTGCCAGATGGACGTTCCCAAATCCGCCTGAGGGGACTTCCTGGCTCCAGCAAATCCAAGAGCATCCTCCAAAAATTGGATTTTCTTGCTGAACTGCATCTCCAGGATGGGAATGACCTCCGGCATGCGCGCCGCCAGGAGCCGGTAGGAAGTGTCGGGCTTGCCGATGAACCTCTGCCGGATGCTGATCTCGTAGGGAGTGTGCACCCGGATGTCATCCACATCCCGGGATTCGAAGCGGTGCAGGAGCTGGGAATTGCAATCCTTGATTTCCAGGCCGGAGGGAAGCACCGTGAGTTTGCCGGGTTTGGCGTTGGAATCTGTCCTGTGGGTGATAATCACGGGGATTCGCAGCAGGATTCCTTCCTGGTTTTTGGCATCTGGAGCGGCAGGGGTTTCCTTGGGCTTTGCTTCCAGAGGGGTTTTCCAGAGTTTGGTGCTGAAGGGCCACCAGGAAGGAGATTCCAGCTCTGTTAACAGCCTGGAAGAGGGAAGGGAGGGTTGGGAGAGGGAAGAGCTCTGGATATTCCAGCAGTTCCAAGAAAATCCCCATGGACACGAAAATTCCTTAATCCCTCCTCAAACCCATCCATAATTTCCCAGGATCCAGGCAGTTCAAACCCCACCTTCTCCTCATAATCCACTGGAAAAATTCCCAGAATCCCAGCTGGGAGAGAAGGAATGGAAATGGATTTTTCCAGGCCCCTCTCCACATGTTTGTTCCACAATATTCCCATTCCATGCCCAACCATCACCATTTCCAAGGCCTTTTCCTGCTCTTTTTCCTTTACCTCCTCAGCCTGATGCCTTTTCCTTTGCACAACACCCAAATTCCCAGATAAAACACTAAGAATTCCAGCTTGAGACTCCAAAATCCAGCAAAAAATTCCCAGAAGTGTCCAGACCCCACCTTTCCAGCAGTGTTGGGGCAGCTCCCTAAGGAAAACATTCCCAACAAACAGGGAAGGGAACCAGGGCTGGAATTGTTCAGGTTCAGCTCCTGCTCCAAGGACAAGGAAAATATTCCAGGTTTTTTTCAAGGGAAAACCAACAATAACCATCCCTAAAATCCCAATTTAATTCTGTTTTCATTCCCTGTTTTAAGTCCATTAAAACCTTGGGATACTCCCAGGAATTCCCTGCTCCTTAAATTCAATAAAACTGGGAAGAGCCCTCTTTTCCCATTAAATCAAAAGTGTTTTAAAGGCTTGGGGATATTCCTGGAAAATCAAGGCAAAAGATTTCCAGGGAAGCTGTGGGGGAAAAGGGAGGGAAGGAAAAAGGGCGAGAAAGGAAAAAAGAAGAGGGGAAAAAACAGAGGGGAACAAAAATGGCGGGGGAAAAAAATCATGAGGGAAAAAGGGCGGGAAGGAAAAGGGCGGGAACAGGATAGCCCAAAATTCCAGATTTCCTCTGGAAAAGTCCATCAACATCACTGACCGTGCACTGTCCCAATAATCCCATTAATATTCCGGAATATTCCCATTCCCAGCTCATCCTCAGCTTCCCGTAGATCAATACGCACTGAGGAAAATCCAGGATATCCCAAAATTCCAGATTTCCTCTGGAAAGAGCTGTCAACATCACTGGCCATGCATTTTCTCAATAGTCCCACTCATATTCCGGAATATTCCCATTCCCAGCTCATCCTCAGCTTCCCGTAGATCAATACGCACTGAGGAAAATCCAGGATATCCCAAAATTCCAGATTTCCTCTGGAAAGAGCTGTCAACATCACTGGCCATGCATTTTCTCAATAGTCCCACTCATATTCTGGAATATTCCCATTCCCAGCTCAACTGAGCTTCCCACAGATCAACAGACACTGAGGAGAATCCAGGATATCCCAAAATTCCATATTTCCTCTGGAAAAGTCCATCAACATCGCTGACCATGCACCGTCCCAATAATCCTATCCATATTCTGGAATATTCCAATTTCCAGCTCATCCTCAGTTTCCCACAGATCAACAGGCACCGAAGAAAATCCAGGATATCCCAAAATTCCAGCTCATCCCTCTTTATAAACCCCTGCTCACTCCCCTTCCCCTCTGGCATCTCAAAATCCAGGCACGTTAAGCACATTTCAGGAATTCCCCAGGAATTGTCAATATTCTCCAGGAACTGCCAATATTCCACACGAATTCCCAGCATTCTACACAAATTCCCAGCATTCCCCTGGAAATCCCAGTATTCTTGAGGATTTGTCAATATTCTCCAGGAAATCCCAGTACCCTCCATGAATTCCCAGCATTCTCCATGAATTCCCAGCATTCCCCAGGAAATCCCAGTACACCTCATGAATTCCCAGCATTCTCCAAGAAATCCCAGCATTCCCTGGGAAATCCCACTATTCTCTGCAAATTCCCAGTATTCCCCCCAGGAAATCCCAATATTCTCCAGGAATTGTCACAATTCCCCAACAATTCCCAATATTCTCCAGGAATTCCCAGGAATTCCTTCTGACCAAACAATCCCAACTTTGGAATGGGCAATTCCATCCCTGGAATGGTTTCTCTCCACCCTTCCAGAAGTTTCTTGGAGCCAAGGGTTGGAATTTTCCTGGAATATCTTCCTCATGGCTGTGGTTTCCAGCACCGAGGCCTGCTTCCATCCCATAATTTATTTGGGAATGTTGATGACATCACTGGGATTTCATCGCTCCATGATCCATCGTCTTCTCCAAGGCTTTGGTATTCCATGGGATCACAGATTAATTCCAGGAGCTCTGGAATTCAGCTGTGCCATTAATGAGATTCCTGCTAATTACCCTCCTTAATTCCATCCCAATCCGATCTCTCCAAGAAAAATTGAGGAATTCTCAGGAAAACAAAAAATTCCCTCTTCAGGAATGCTGAATTCCTGATCCCACCCTGAGATCTCCCAGCATTCTCAGGCTGCTGCATCATTAATTCCTCAAAAAGTCCAGTTCCAGAGATTTTTAATTATTATTTTTAATAAATAAATTTAAATTAAGTAATTTTAATTATTTTCTTAATTAAATACACTCAAAATTCCAATATAATTAAGATGAAAATTAGTCCATGCTATAGCCCAAAAAAATCCTTTATTTGGTTTCCATCCCTTATTTCCATGGATTTTTCATAACTTTTTTTTCATTATTAATTTTAGAAATTAAATTGAAAAAAAAAATCAGCCATAAATTGACAAAAAAATTGGAATTTAAAGTGAAAATTCTACGCCTCTTTTGATCCAATAAATCCATAACCCCAGAGAATACTGTGGGAAAAGAGGGAGCAAAATTCCAGGAAAATCTGATTTCAAGGAGTGGTTAGAGTCCAGTTTTCAACAAAATTCCAAAGGAAAATACAACCAAAGCTGTTCCCAGCATGAAAATTCCTTAAATAAAATCAAGGATTTATATTTAATAAATTAAAATAAGTTCTTCCTGATCCTTTTCCCAAGTTTCTTATCTGGATTTGTATCCATGGAATTCTCAGGGAGGAATTTTCTCCCTCAGGGTTTTTTTCTCAAGTTTTCACCAAGGAAAAAATTTCTGAAGGAAAATTCAACTGAGGCTGCTCCCAAAATGAAAATCCCTTAAAAACAAACAAGGATTTATATCTAATTATAAATTAAAAGAGGCACTTCCTGAGCCTTATCCCAAGTTTCTTACCTGGATTTGGATCCATGGAATTCTCAGGGAGGAATTTTTTCCTTGGTGAAAACTTGGGAAAAAAGTCCAAAGGAAAATTCAACCGAGGCTGTTCCCAAAATGAGAATTCCGTAAAAACCCAAGGATTTATATCTAATTATAAATTAAAAGAAGCTCTTCTTGATCCTCATCCCAAGTTTCTTACCTGGATTTGTAACCATGGAATTCTCAGGGAGGAATTTTTTCCCAAGTTTTTACCAAGGAAAAAATTCCAAAGGAAAATTCAACTAAGGCTGTTCCCAAAATTAAAATTCCTTAAAAAAAACCCAAGGATTTATATCTAATTATAAATTAAAAGAGGCACTTCCTGAGCCTTATCCCAAGTTTCTTACCTGGATTTGGATCCATGGAATTCTCCAGGAGCATTTTTTCCCCTCAGGGAGGAATTTTTTCCCTCAGGGTTTTTTTCTCTTCCAAGTTTTGAAAAAAAAAACAACTTGAAACTAAAGGAAAACACAACAGCAGCTGTTCCCAAAATGAAAATTCCTTAAGAAATCCAGGATTTGTATTGAATAAGGAATGAATCCAAGGTCTGGAAGGGCAGCAGAGGCAGAGCCAGCACTTCCCGAGGTTTTTATACCTGGATTTGTCTCTGGTCTCGTGATCCCTGACTCACCTGGGAGCTCCAAGCTTTACTCAGCTCCTTGCTGGGCCTGAGGGCAAATTTTCCAAGGAAAAATCCAGTTGGGAATTAAAACCTTTTTTTTTTTTTTAAGGAAAAACCCAGCTGGATATGGTTCTTCCCAAAATGTTCTCTCACCATCCTTCCCTATGGGACCTCTCCCATTACCCACACTCTTTTCTAAGGAAATCATTGGATTTTTGGCCACAACTGCCCCAAAATCCTGGAATTCCACCCACAGCAATCCCTGGGATTTCTAAAAGGGAGATGTGGATTTGACATCCATGGAAAAACTGGGATTGGCAGAGAAATAAAACAAAACCCCCAAATTGCTTCTGAATTCTGTGTAAATTCAGGAATAGGTTTGGAAACTTGGGAATGTCACAATCCTTCATCCAGGAGACACCTGAGGGATTCCACAAGAAATTCCTTCAGCTTCTTCCCAAAACATTCCCTCACCATTTGTCTGCCCCAAAATCCGGAATTCCATGCACAGCAAGGCCTGGACCAGCAGCAGGGAGATGAGGATTCAACATCTGGCAGCTGATCCATGGAAAAAATGGGATTGGTGGGAAAATAAAACAAAAAAAAAATCAAATTGCTTCTGAATTCTGTGTAAATTCAGGAAAAGGTTTGGAAACTTGGGAATGTCACAATCCTTCATCCAGGAGACACCTGAGGGATTCCACAAGAAATTCCTTCAGCTTCTTCCCAAAATGTTCCCTCACCATTTGTTCCCAGATCAGATCTGGACTCTTCCATTATCCACACTCTTTTTTTAGGAAATAATCGGATTTTTGGCCACATCTGCCCCAAAATCCTGGAATTCTGTGCACAGCAAGGCTGGACCAGCAGCAGGGAGATGAGGATTTAACATCCAGCAGTGTCACGGGGATTTTGCAGGAATTCTTTCCCTGAACATCATCCAGTGGCTGCTTCCATAAAAAGGAGCTGATTCACCTTTGGTGAGATCACCCAATTAACCAGGAGCATTACTAATTAGTTAATTAGGGGGAGGAGCTGGCACCATCCCTGGGTGATGTCCCCATCAACATTTCATTCCCAGGTTTTTTGGGAATGATGGCCAGAGAATTCCTGCACTTTTTATTGTTTGTTTTCTCTCCTCCTGCACGGCTGAGAATTCCACAGGTTTTATTCCCAGAATTAAATCTGGGAAATGCTGAGCTTAAAACTCCTGGGAGTCATTTTAATAAATGAGTTTATAAATCCCATCCAGTCTCTCTTAATCTTTTTTAATTAAGACTCAATCCCAGGACTGATAAATCCACAAATTCCAAATTTAGGATTCTCCAAGCTGTGAAGTATCCAGGCCTGACCTCATTCCTTCATTCCCAAGCCTCACCTCTGTTTCCTCACCCCCAAGCTGGAATTTCTCCCTCCTGCCAAGGACTTCCATCCCTTCCTCTTCCTTTTTCCCAGGATTTTCCTGCTCCTCACCCCAATGGAACAGAGAATTCCGATGGTTTGGGTTGGGAGGGACCTTAAGGATGATCCCACTCCATGGATCCTCCCCTATCCCAGCTGGATCCAAGCTGACCTCGCACACTTCCATGAAGGAATATTCCCAATATCCAACCAAAATCTCCCTCTCCTCCTGTCCCTGTTCCCTGGCAGCACAGCCCAACCCCAAAAATTCCCCCTGCGCTCCTTTCCTCTGGGATGAACACTCCCACTCCCTCAGGATTCCCCAGCACAACTCTGGGATCCAGGAATTTCCTGGATTTCCGCAATCCCCTCTCCGAACCCCGCTTCCAGCCTTCCCTCGGTGCCGGTGTCGCTCCGGGCCCAGCTCGGGGTCTGCTGCACGGAGCCCCCAGCCCCAGCCGAGCCCTCCCGGAGCCGACCCCGCTCCCGGTTCCCGGTTCGGACCCGCCCCGGCCCCGGGCGGAGCTGCCAGGCCCCGGTTCTCAACCCCCCGGGCCCGGTCCGAGAGCACACCGACCGTGCATCGGAGCCCCCAGCCCCAATTTGTGACCCCAAGCTCCACCTCGAGCCCTTCCCACCCCATTCGTGTCCTCCCGCCCCATCCGGGCCCCCCCGGTCCGAGAGCACCGCGCCCATGGGCTGAGCAGCCCCCCAAGCCCAAATTTGTGACCCCCCAGCCCCATTTTTAACCCCAAGCTCCACGTCCCGCCCCATTTCGAGTCCCTCCGGACCTCCCGGTCCCGGTCCGAGACCACACCGACCACGGATGGAAGCCCCCCCGCCCACCCAGCC